TATCTCCATAGGTTGATTGTTTCTGGTAAAGTTACCATGAATAGACTCATAACATGTAGTCTTTTTTTTTTAACTTAGTGTAATGTACTATGTTATGCATTTATCAATAGCTCATTCAACTTATTTCTGAATAGTATTCCATTTTATAAATATTGTTTATTCACAGATTAATCAACTTGATGTCTTTATGTTGCTATATGTTTTTCTCTTGGGTGGACACCTAGGAGTGAAATTTGTTGAATTGTATGATAAATTTATGTTTGACTTTTCTTTTGCAGTGCTGAGGATTGAAAAATTTTAACTTTTTAAGCGTGCCAAGTTATTATAAAAAGTAAATATGCCATTTACCATTCCCACCAGCAATATGTGAGGGTTCCCATTTCAACACATCCTTGCCAACGCATGATATTGTCTTGTTTGGACTATAGCCATTCTAGTGGGTATATAGTATACCCTATTGTAATTTTAAGTTGCATTTACCTAATGACTATGTTTTCATATACTTATCAGCCATTCTTATATCTTCTTTGATGAAACAACTTTTCAGATCTTTTACTCTTTTTTTTGTTTTGTTTTGTTTTTGGTACTGGGGTTTGAACACGGCCTACACCTTGAGCCACTCCACCAGTCCTTTTTTGTGAAGGTTTTCTTAGAGATAGGGTCTCACAAACTATTTGCCCAGGCTTGCTTCGAGCTGTGAGCCTCCTGATCCTTTCCTCTTGAGTATATAGGATTACAGGCATGAGCCACTAGCGCCCTGCTTTTTTGTTAATTTTGCCTTATTTATTTTTTGGCAGTACTGGGATTTGAACTTAGGGCCTTGAACTTGTTAGGCGGGCACTTTACCACTTGAGCCATGCCCTTAGTCAGAGGGTCTCTTGTTTTTGCCTGGGGCTTACCTCAGACCATGATCCTCCTACCTGTAGCCTCTGGTATATTTGGGATGTTAGTGCACACCACCACACCCAGCTTATTGACTGAGATGAGGTCTTGCTGACTTTTTGCCTGGGCTAGCTGTAAGCCACAGTCCTTCTGATCTCTACCTCCTGATTAAAGCTGGTCTTACGGATATGAGCCACAGTACCTGGTGGTCTTTTTCTTTTTCATTGGTACTACTTGCTAGGCAGGTACTCTTATCATTTGAGCCCACAACGCCAATCCCCTTTTTGCTTTCCTAATGGTGTCTTTTAAGCACAAGAGTTTTACATTTTTTTTGTCAGTACTGGGGTTTGAACTCAGGGCCTCACACTTGCTAGGCAGGTGCTCTACCACTTAAGTCACTCTACCAGCCCTTTTTTGTGCTGGGTATTTTTGAGATAGGATCTCAAAAATTGAGATCCTGTTGACTCATATTGACTGAGATGGGGTATTCCTAACTTTGCCCAGGCTAGCTGTGCATATTGATCCTCCCAATCTCTGACTCCTGAGTAGCTAGGATTACAGGTGTTAGCCACTGGCACCTGGAAGGTTTTAAGTCCAGTTTATCATTTTTTTTATGGATTGTACTTTTGATGTTCACTTAATAATGCTTTCCCTAACCCAAAGCTATGATTATTTATCCTAGAGACATTGTAGCTTTAGTTTTTTTTTTAAATTTATGATCCAGTTTGTATGTATATAAATACATATATGTATATATATATGTATATGTATGTATTTATATGTAAAATACATACATATACATATATATTCATTTTTATGTTTACTTACATGTGTATACATTATTTGGGCCACCTCCCCCCCTACTTCCAGGCAGAAGTGATCCAGTTTTTAGTTAATTTTTGTGAATGGTGTGAAGAAAGCGTTAAAATTCACTTTTTGGCATATGCATATCCAATTCTCCCAGAACCTTTTATTGAAAGCATGCTTATTTTCTAATAAAATGCCTTTATCTTTTTTTTAAGTAAATTGACCATAATTGTGAAAGTTTATATATAGATTCTTCTGTTTCAGTATTTATGTAAACATCATGCTGTCTTACTCATTATATATTTGTGCTCAGAATTTTAATTAAAATGAAGTTGGATTAACTAGACTTAACTAAGTCAAACAATGCATGTTTTCACATTTATCATATTTTTATCCTTTTTCTGAGGTGTGGGAGGGTGTAGAGCTTTTTGCCTTCTACCCCATAGTATATCAAGTTATATTTTGAAAATTTTCATCTTTATTTTGTGCCTCACTCAGAAATACTCAAGAGGTAGCTAGGCATGCTGGTAATAGGAGCAGCTATCAAAAACAGGGACACTGGGTGAGATTGCAGTCTTCAGTGACATGAAATCCTAAGGCCAGTTAGGTGCCAACAGCATGCTTTTCCATCCATAGTAACTCAGCAGTGTTTTAAGCATTATTGTTCTTACTGTTTTAAAATGAAATCTTAATCAGAATATACTGGATGTATTTTATAAATCAATAATAAAAGTTATATCTGTATCACTTAGCTCATGGGCATTCCTGAAGCTTAATTGTTTGAGCTAATAATAAATATTTGCTTTGTTAACTTCTCATAGTGTTTCTGTGATTAAAGTGATGTTTTTTAAGTGCTTTGCAAAATATTAAGTGCTGTACAAACATTTTTAATGTCATTTGCACAAATAAACAAGTGAACTTTTCTTTCAAACACTTCACTTTCTAAGATAATGTGAAGGAAAAATGGTGAGCAGTCATTGAACTGTTGTGTCATTTGTTCACAGATACAAGTGAAATGGGTAAAATTGTGTGACAGCCTAAGAATGTGGGACATAGGTGAAAGCAGTGAGAGTGGAGGATCATTTTCTTCAGTCTCTGTTCATAATTGGAGTTGGTGGGGGGGGTGGAGGTGAATGCTACTTGTAAATTTCTACACAATTGGATAGATAAGTGATAAAATGTAATCACTTAAAAAATTTCTTTTACTGATACATGTAATTTATGTAAAATGTTTTTAAATGAAGTACAAAGATATAGTAATGAAAGCAGTGTGGTAAGGGACATAAGAATTAGATATACAGACTGATAGAATTAAGAGTTCAGAAACAAACATTGAAGCCCAACACCAGTGGCTCATGCCTGTAATCCTAGCTACTCAGGAGGCAGACATCAGGAGGATTGCAGTTCTAAGCCAGCCCAGGCAAATAATTCGTGAGACCCTATTTTGAAAAAAATCCATCACAAAAATCGGCTGGTGGAGTGATTCAAGATCTAGGCCCTGAGTTAAAAAAAAGAAACAGACCTTAATGTTTATTCAATTGATTTTGGACAAGGCCACCAAGAGAATTTATTGGGGTAAAATATTCTTTTTACCACAGACATGCTGAATATCTACATGCAAAAGAATACATTTGAGCCCTCCTTCACTATACACAAAGATTAATTCAAAGTGTATCACAGAGCTAAGTTTAAAGCCAAAGCTGGGACAGTGGTATGCCCCTGCATCCTAGCTTTGCAAAAGGCCGAGGTGGGAGGATTGCTTGAACCAGGGACTTCAAGACTAGTCTGGGCAATGTAGACTGTCTCAAAAGGGGGTTGAGGCTGGAGGTATAGGTCTTTAGTAGAGGGCCTACTTAGCATGTGTTTGATTCCCATCACCACAAAAAAAGAAGAGCTAGGTTGAAAGGTATACTAAGTAGAACTAAAACTGAGGTTCTTAGAATAAAATATGGGAGTGAATATTTTGTGACATTGAGATTGTCAGTGATTTATTAGCTTAGCTGGACTTCATCAAAATTAAAAACTTTTCTGTTGTACAAAGGACACCATGAAAAATTTGCAAAGACAACCCACAGAATGGGAGAAAATAATTACAAATCATATTTGACAAGATGTATTTATTTAAAATACATTAAAATCTCTTATGACAAAAGTAAAAGGACAAGTAGCTCAGTTAAACAATGATCAAGGGATCTAAGTAGACATTTCTCCAAAAAGATGTACAAATGTCCATCAAGCAGATGATGTGATGCTCAGCTCCATTAGCCACCAGGGAAATGGTGATACGCAACTTCAAACCCATGAAGATGGCTGTAATAAAAAAGATAGACAATAACAAGTAGGGGTGAGAATATGGAGAAATTGGAACTCTTTTGTACTACTGAGGGCTTGTAAAAGACTGAGCTGCTTTGGAGAACTTTGGCAAGTATTTCAAAAGGCAATATAACACAGATCCCATGTGACCAAGCAATTCTCCTCTGGATAGACACCCAACAGAATTAAAAACATGTTCACAAGAGTCTTGTGCATAAATGTTTGTATTCATAATAGACCCAAAGTAAAAACAACTCAAGTGTCCATCAACCAGTGAATGAAATAAAATGTAGAATGGGACATTTTTTGACAATAAAAAAGAATGAAGTACTGATGCATGCCATATCAAAGGTAGACCTTGAAATCATTTTGCTGAATCAAAGTTTGTCACATGAAAACCACATATTAGATTATTCCACTTTACATGAAATGTCCAGAATAGGAAAATTAATAGATTGAAACAGATCAGTATTGCCTAAGTCTGGGCTGAGGTATTAGGAAGAAATGGGGAGTGACTGCTAATGGGTTCAGGGTTTCCTTTTGAAGAATAAAAATGTTGTAAAATTGTTTGTGGTGATGGTTGTTCAACACTTTGAATATATTTTAAAATGATTGATGGGTACACATTAAGTGGGTGAGTCATAAGACACATGAATAACAAAAATTTGAAAGTCAAGTAGTGCTGGATATGATAGCACAGGACTGTAATCCCAGCACTTGGAAGGATTGCAAGTCTTAGGCTAGCTTGGGCTACAAAGCATGACCCTGTCTTGAAAAAATATGTATCAAGCACTATCCCCCCCAAAAAAATTAGAGAAGCAAGAATAGGACATTTATAAAGATGTCTCTACTGTTTACCTTCTGGAGATAGAAAATGATCAAGTGGTTGATTCTAACCATTTTTCTTTCATTCCTCATCTGTCTAGTGGCTGACTAGATTTATTAAATGCATACACTTTTGTGTGAAATGATAGTAAATCATAATTCATTTTTGACAGGAATTGAGTTCTTCTCAGACTTTTTCACATGATGGAGGATTCTTCAATAGACTGGAAGATGATGTTCATAAAATTCTTGTTAGAGAAAAGAGAAGAGAACAGCTTACAGAATATAATGGAACTGATAATTGTACAGCTCATGAACACAACCAGGCATGTAAAATAGAAAATTCTCTTAAAATCACAGTGAAATGAAAATGAAAATTTTCTTTTTACAGTAATCAGTAGAATCCAATTACGATTGTATAAAGTAATAGTTTTACTGTATTGTCTTAGTCATTATCCCACAAAGATAAGATGTGTATAGTCCATTCATTGACATATTTATAGAGGTTGTGCTGTATTTTATTTATAGTTAGGCACTGGTGTTGGAGAGATCGCTATATACACACCTTCCTTCTCTTAGACACTCAGAGCTGTGAGGATATGAGTAGGTAGACCTGTAAAAGATTATCATTCAGCATGATGAAGACTTTTAGGGAGATGTATACAATAAAAAGTTTTGAATGGAAAAGGTAATAATGATCACTGATTGGGTAAATTGTGACAAGTATATAAAAATGACATTGGGGTAGATTTTGAGGGATGAATAATTCTATAAACTGAAAAATGGAGAAAGACTATAGCCTAAGGCATTTGCAAAAACAGGCCTTGGTTATGAAAGGCCTTAGTCTGAGTAATCAGCAAACTGAAAAATTTTGCAACTAAGAAGTATAGGGTTAAGTGAGTGTAGGATGACATGATTAGAGAAATACATTGAATTTGGGTTTTAAAAATTTTTTTGTACAAAACTAAGAAGTTAAAATTTTATCCTGTACAATAAGGCAAGCCATGGCCCACAAGTCAAATCCAGTCAGTGGCCTGTTTTTTTTAAAACTATATAAGTCATACAATACTGTTCATCTTATAGCATAAAATAAAACAAATTGAGATTTTCCCCAAAAATAATTTAGAAGCTTACATAGAAAATACCATTGCCTGAAGTTTATGATCTTTAAGTTATAGGTCAAAAGAATTTCATGTTGTTGTTTTGGGTTTTTATTGTTTTAGATTTTACTTTCTTTTTGAATTATTTTTATTTTTGAATCAGCACACATATGAGAGAGTTTCATTGTAAAAATTCCATACATGTGTACAGTGCACTGTGAACAAGTTCACCTCCATTTGCATTCCCATTGCTCCCTTTCTCCTCCCCTCTTTTTCAAACAGTGTTTGTTGGGTTTCATTATGCTGTCTGTCTCTCTGTAGATGTACATGTAAATATATATTTCTATAAATATTCTGTATATAATTTATATGTATATATATGTAACATACTTCAATCTTCAACCCCTCAGTATCCTTCATTTCCTTCTCCCCCCCCCCACGGATTCCCCCAGACAATCTCCACTTACAATCCCCCATTTACATTCATGTCCCATTATTATCATCATCATTATTTTAGGTCTAGGTTCTACAAATGAGTGAGAACATGTGATATATTTTAAGGCCCATGAGCTAAGAACAGTATGTACATTTTTGAAATAATTGTTTTTAAAAAAGAAGAAAGCCAGTTGTGGTAGCACACATCTATAATTCTAGAGCACACCTGTATTCCCAGCACTGGGTAACTGAGGCAGGAGGATCTCAAGTTTGAAGGCAGCCAGGCTATATAGCGAGACCCTGTCTCAAAAAAAAAAAACCCAAATATATATATATATATTCTTTACAGAAGTATATATATATATATACTTTACAGAAAAAGTTTGTCATTATGTAGCATTGGCTTTCACAGTATTGTCTACATTTTCTATTCTAATTTAATTCCTGAGCCAACAGTAATTGCCAGAAAATATTTTTTAATATAGTGCTATGTTACTTTTGCTATATCTGCATTTCTACCTAACAGTCCTTTGATTCATCTTTTTTCTGACTGAAAAATTCCTGCTACAGCTACTCCAAATCCTAAAAGACTGCTTCCTTATCCTTTTATTCTTCTCAAAGGACATTATTCTCTGTTTACTAAAAAGATGGGTAAATTCAGTCATTGAACAAATTAAACATCTACTATGTGGTGTTATGTGAGACACAAGATAAGTCAGACCCTTAAGAACTTTTTACTGTAATGCAGCAATAGATTGGTTTATAAGTAACACTATTCCACGTGAAGACCTATTTTCAGCATACAGTGGAAAATTGCCTGCCCGAGGAACTTGTAAGCTTCTAACTTTCTGACATTTGATTTAATGTTTTCCTGTCTTGACATAACTGCCAGATTTTATGTACAGTCCAAGCAACCATGTTAACATTTATGGTTAGCATGTTTGCTTCCACTTTTTTCATTGATTGGGATTTTCTTCTTGGTAATCCATACCTTCTTTTTTAAAAAAGACATCTCATCATTTTTGGAGAGAAGATATGATATTAATATATTTCAGGAAATATTTACATGCCTCACACCTTTTATAAAAGAAAGTTGAGTATAAATTAAATTATCAAGTGATTGTAATGCTATAATCAAGACAAAATGATAGTGTAGTATAGTAGAAAGAGAATAGACTTTGAAATCAAACAAATTAATAAACTATTAGGTCTTCAGGTTATCAAGCTCTGTTACATTGGAATGCAATTACTTGTTTTTCTTGCATTATTATTAGGAAGGTTAGAAATTATGACTTAAAATGTTTAGCCGACTATGTTTTAGACGTATGCATTAGTAGATAATTTTACACAATCTAGTGCAATAGTAATTCACAAGATTGGGGATCAGAGATGGCTTTGCAAAGAGAAAATAGCATTTGAATCGTAAACTTAAAGGACAGAAGAATTTGAACATGTGGAGGTGAGGAAGAAGAAACTGGAATGACTTGAGTAAAAGTATGGGCACAGTGAAGTATAAGCCAGCTTAATTAAAGCAGAAGGTTCATAGACAAATGCAGTGTAAGTTTGATAAGGTAGATTGAAAAGATCGTGCAGGATTTAAAGCCTACTTTATAATTTAGTCAGTAAACAATAAAGAATTTTTAAAGGTTCTTGAGCAGAGAGTAAAGTTTTATTTACTAATATTAATTTCACAGCAGTGCCTAGGAAAAACTAAAGGAGGGTGAAGAAAATAGAAAGGAATTAGACAGACAGTAACTTAGTTGTAAGGATATAGTACAAAATAAACATTACTTTAGTGAATTACTAGGGAATACAAATTGGTATAATGATTTTGGAAAAGAATTTGGCCTTAACTTTTAAATTAGAATGTGATAGGCATGACCTATCTTGTAGAAATTCTACCCCTGGATTTATTTATTCATTTTTTGGCAGCACTGGGGTTTGAACTCAGGGCCTCACACTTGCTAAACTGATGCTCTACCACTTGAGCCACTTCACCAGCCCTTCTACTCCTGGATTTAAACCCTGGATACATGTTCAAAACTCAGTTGTTTATTAACAAAATCAGTAGAATAAAAAGACCCTGCCCCCAAAAGACTTAGAAAAAGGGATGGGATATAATATATTACTTAAGGAATATAGATACAGATACAAAGAGTAACAGACAAAGACAGTGATAAACACAAAATGCATAATAGTGGATATCTCTAGGAAGAGAGGGAGAGGGATGTGATCTGGGAAGATACTGGTAATATTCAAACTTCTGTTTTTTTGAGAGAGAAAGATTGAATTATTTATACAAATCTGAGTCTCTTCGAGTATTGACTTTAGTTCATTCCAGATGCTGACATCATCCTCAGAGTCTGTTTAAATCCTTAATTTGCATATTGTTTTTTTTTACCTTACATGTTTCGTGTGTGTGTGTGAAGTTTTTCATAAATTAAAAAAATTAGGATGTTTGTATATTATGTCATTTGAGTGTAATAGGGAAAAAGGATTACAACCATTTGAAAAATTCTCTATTCTTTTTGTGTATCTACGTCCTGTCTCTCACTGTTGTACTCTTTTCTCAGAGAAAAAAAAACCTCTTCCTTTTGCCAAGATTAAAATTCTGTACATACATTAATATACCAGGTATTACTAAATGTGAAATCAATCGATTTTAGTTCTACCATTCTATTGGGAGGATGTGCGGCTCAAGTGGTGAAGTGCCTGCCTAGTAAGCATAAGACCCTGAGTTTAAACTCCAATACTGCCCCCCCAAAACTTCCTAGGACAAGTGTTATGGTTCACACCTGTAATCCCAGCTATTTGGGAGGTGGTGAGAGAAGGATAGTGGTTCAAGGACAGCCTGAACCACTGAAATTCTACCTCAACAAACAAGCCAGGTGGGGTGATACTTATCTCTAATCCCAGCTATGTGGAAGGCAAAAAGTGCAAAACCCTACCTGAGAAATAAACCACAAAAGGCTGGAGGCATGGCTCAAGTGGTAGAGGGCTTGCCTAGCAAGGGTAAGGCCCTTGAGTTCCAACCATAGTACTACCAAAACAAAACTAGAAACTTGGAGTGTCCTTCTTATTCACCTGTCATAATCAGCCTGTATCCAAATGTTGATTCTACCTCCAAATCATGTCTCAAATACACTCCTTCCATTTATACCCCTTCACCCTTACTCAGGGTATAATTTTGTTTGGTCGGCTTCCTTACAGTAGCAATTGAAAGGTCTTTCTGCCTGTCTTACTCTACTCAGTTTTCTATATAACATCTGAAGGGGTTCTTTAACAAACTTACAGGCTCAAGCAGTCCTTCATTCTCAACCTCCTGAGTAATTGGGACTTCAGGCATGTGTCATCAAGCCTGGCTCCACAGTCATCTTGTACCATCTTTGCCTTCACTATATCCCACCTACATTGGCCACCTTTTTTCTTCCATTTACAGCACTGATATAGCACTTTTTTTCATAACTCAGATCTTATTTTCTAATTATGGCATTTGTTTATGTAAAATCTGTCTCCTTGCTACACAAATCCCAGAAGGACAGATTATTTTCATTTTTGCTCACCATTGTACACCTGGCACCTAGGAAAATACACATGAGTATTTGTGGAATATGTTACTGTTGCCACATTACTCTAAATAGACCCAGTTTTTATTCATCAAAAATGTGACCTTGGAGCTGAGTTCCCATGGCTCACACCTGTAACCCTAGCTACCTCAGAAACTGAGATAAGGGGGATCACAGTTTAAGGCCAGTTCAGGCAAATAGTTCAAAAGACCCCATCTCAACTAAGAGCTGGGTGTGGCAGTACACACCTGTAATCCCATGCTACTTGGGAGGCTGAAATCAGAAGGATCACAGTTCCAGACCATCCTGAGCAAAAAAGTTTGCAAAACCCCATTTCAGTGGAAAAAAAACTGGGTGTGGTGGTACATACCTATCATCCCAGCACCAACAGGAAGCTTAAAATAGGAGGATTATGGTCCAGGCTGCTTTGGGCCCTATCTCCAAAAATAACCAGAGTGAAAAGAGATGGGAGCGTGGCACCTGCCTAGCAAGCAGAAAGCCCTGACTTCAAACCCCAGTACCAAATCATAATTTGGAGTGACTTTTTACATGTAAATTTATTTTGACATATGGTGCAAGATGACAGGTATCTTGAGGATAGACTAATAACAACTTGTCATGGAGAAGTTTTAATATGTTTATTCTAGGATATAAATATCTTTTCAAAGGCCTGACACTGTTGTAGAGTATGCTGATAGCTTGAAATTAATCATAAAAATCTTACTTGCTTTCACCATACATAATATAATTAATAATACAATATAATTGAGTCAAGTTGAAATTGATTTAATAGTTTAAGATTGCCTGAAAAAATAAAGTCAGGATTTTCCTCAATCCTTTCATAAAAGAATATTGTAAACTAGGATTGACAGAACAGTTTTAATCTTAAAACAGTGTTTTTCTTTTTTCAGGAGGTGGTTCTAAAAGATGGAAGAATTGAAAGACTAAAGTTGGAACTTGAAAGGAAAGATGCTGAAATCCAGAAGCTGAAAAATGTGATCACTCAATGGGAGGTTTGTATTCATTTACTTAGAAAAGAAAATAATTCTATAAATTTATACATTTTTTTGGTTTTCTTATATGTAAACATGTTTAATAGTTAATAGGAATAGTCATTCTGATGTTTGGATTTTTTAACTGACTCATGATTTGAAGTCTGAATAATATATTTATATTGTTTCAGTGTATATGTATATATAATACATATATTATTTCATATATATAATAACCATTTTAAGTGGATGAGTCAGTGATATTATTGCACAATATTTCCATTATTGTGTAACCATCACCACTATGTTTTTTCAGGTTTTTTCATCATCCCAAACAGAAATTCTGTTCCCATTAAACAGTTCCCCATTCCCAGTCCTCCAGTCCCTCATAACCCCTTAATCTCCATGAATTTGCTTCTTCTAGGTACCTGGTAAAGGTAGAAACATAGAATATTTGTCCTTTTGTGTCTTGCATATTTCATTTAGCGTAATTTTTTCAAGGTTCATCCATGTAGCATTTATCAGAATTTTATTCCTGTTTATAACTGAATAATATTCCATTGCAGGTATATACTGCATATTGTTTATTGGTATACAAGTATCTGAATACCTGCTTTGAATTCTTTGGGATAAATACATAAGAGTAGAATTGCTAGATCATATAATAATTCTGTTTGACATTTTAAGGAACCTCCAAACTGTTTTCTGAAGCATCTGTACCATTTTATGTTCCAACCAGCAGTGCACAAGGGTTCCAGTTTCTCTGCATCTCCCCAACACTTGGATGTATACTTGTTTTTAACCATGAATCTTACTTCTTCCCTTGACCTAAAAAAATCTCTTATTTATATCAAATATCACTTTTTGAATAATATTAGGCCATTCAACAATTACTCATTGCATGCCTGTGGTGTGCCAGGTACTTTTCTGGGCCCAACGTATGTAACAGTGAAAAAAATAAATCGAGTTCAAGCCCTGATGGTTCTTACATTTCTCTTCTTCCTCTGCTTGTGCCTTTAGGAATAATAAGCCTTGCTCAGACTTTTTCCAACTACACAAATCCATCTTCCTTAGCTTTTCATTTCTAGTTTCCTTTGCTTTTGTTGAAGTAGGCATGAGTTATAGGAAAGATAGAAATGGAAAAGAATTGCAATACAATGTAGGATTTACAATTGATATTTGAAAAGTGATCCAGAAGTACAGAGAAAGGAATGGATGAGTTACTGCTATTGAAAATTGGTGAGAATTTCACAGAGATGATTTTTCCACGTAGGGAGAACAGTGTACACAAAGGCATGGGAATGGTAGGAAGTGTACACGGTAGCTGACATTTAGAGAAATGTAGAAGGCTGGAGAAGGCGAGATCGAAGATGTTCATTGGGATTAGAATCTGAAGGCATTTGGATTTTAGATAGGTCAATAAAAGTCACTAAAGAAAAGTGACATGAGAATTGTTTTTGTGGGATTATGATGCATATAGCTAGGGCCTGGAGTGAAGATAGTTTGGTGAAACAGTGAGTAGTAAGAGGAAGAGCACAATATTTAACTGGTTGGAGGAAAATGAACATGTAGTTTGCATTTTGGACATACTGAATTTGAAACGACTGTGCTACAATCAATCTCAGGATACAGTGGAGTCACAACATGTGAGCATTTAACTTTACCAACTTGATATGCCCTATATTTTTGTGAAATTAAAAATACTAGCCATACATGGTGCTTGTAATCCCCAGCACTTCAGAAGCTGAGGTAGGATGATGGAAAGTTTGGGGTCAGCCTGAGCTAGACCCTCTCTCAAAAAAAAAAAAAAAACTAAAATAGTAGGACATTGTGTATTTCATATGTGCTCTTTATTACAAACCACATGTTGCTAGTATTTTAGGTATTTATGTTTTGTAGGTACATTTACTACTCAGGATTGTATATATAAAACTGCATATACTATTTTCATAAGCACATTAGGGAATTTTCACAGGTGATTTGCATATTTGCATTTTTTGATTTATGAGCTGCTTTTAGATATTAAAGCTTTCATAAGAGGTGCCGCCATGTATAGTGACCTGCACCGTGGACAAAAAAACTTGAGCTGCACTTAGAGTTTGGTGAGATATTAACATAGATTGAAGTCCTACAAGTAGGAATTTCATGGGAGTGTTGTTCCACATATTCATGGTGAATATTTCTGTATTCAAAGTGAATACAATTATAGTTGAGTGTATATATTTTTCCCTGACACATTTATGGTACCACCTGACTTGTCTCTTGTTCATTTCTAAAGTTTTTCAGAAGTTCTATTCTTTATATATACTGTGGTGCTTACTTTAGTTCACTGTGTAGAGTATTACTCAGTAAACAATTGATTTATCATCACCCATTTAATAAAGAGAGAACTGTTTAGTAAAAGCCAACTTTATAGGACTTAGAATACATTTAAATCTGTTTTACAAGAAATTTGAGGGCTAGGGCAAGGTTCAGTGATAAAATACTTGCCTAGGATGATTAAAGCCCTAGGTTTGATCTCCAGCACTGTAGAAACAAGAAAAATTTTAATCTGTTAACTTCTAGGTACATGTTGAGAGAAGAAATGACAAGTTCTTTAAACTGATATATTTTCCTTAGGCATTTATTTTTCTATAATATATTAAGTGGATTGGTTACTATTTTAACTCTTTATTAATGTTTCTGAGAGTGTTAAAAAATGTTGACTAAGGATAGTATAGGCAGAAAGTCACCTGGAATGTGGATGTTAATGTTGGGGCACAGGCCCTCTTTTTCATAAGTATGTAATTGTATCATTTATATAGTGTGAGGGGAAGCTAAGCCATTTGAAAAAAATTGAAAAAAAGCTGAAAGATGTTTCAGTAAATTACTAATTCATGTCAGCCAAAAATTATTATAGCAGTAATTATTTATCAATGAAATAAGAGATTAGGTAAAGTTTAACTGAGAAGGTATATAGAACTGTGCTGTAAAATTCAATAACCACTACAAATGTCTCAATTTAAATTAGTGTTAAGTAAAATTAAAAATTCATTTTCTCAGTCACACTAGCCATGTTTCTGGTGTTCAGCAGCCACATATTGGACAGTGGCAACTACAGAACAGATATAGAAAGTTCTACTATATTGTTGTACAGTACTGGTGTTGAAATGAGTCATTTTTCTTTTGGGTTTCATCTGAATTATTTTGAATTGTGTAAGGGTTTTATTTGGGGAAGAAAGACAAAGACTCTTCAGGAAAATTTAGTATTATCCTGACTTCACTTTCAGCTCTCCTTAATTTTTTATTTTAGTGAACATTTAATTTAAGTAGTAGACTGTTCTAGTTACATTTTCCTCCATCCTTTTTTTCTCAGAAATAATTTATGTCTTTAAGCAAGCCTAGAATTCACAACTCCATAAACTGTTTGTAAATCATTAATTATATAGTTTACATTTCTAAAATTAAAATTTTCTTTTTTGACTAATAGGCAAAATATAAAGAAGTAAAGGCAAGAAATGCACAATTATTGAAAATGCTTCAGGAAGGTGAAAGTAAGTAATTTGTGTGTTTTTAGAATTAAAATTTGTCATAGCAATATTTGAAGTTAATTTTTCAAGACAAATCATTTATCAACTCAACAAAATAAAAAGCTTTTCCCGAGTGATACAGGCTAGGTAGTTGCTGACAATATTATCATTATAAGACACTCTTAAAGAGCCTTGGTTTTATATACATTTGCACTACTCAGGCAAGAGAAATCCTTGAAATTTCAATTCCATGAATCATTGGACCATTTTAGAAGGAAAACAAATAGAATTTGCTTTTAATTGTTGGAGGAGGCAACTTGTGATTGCTTTAGGTTTTTCTTCCTATTTCCTTCCTTTTTTCTCCCTCTCCCACTGCTCTTTTTATTTTGGCTACTAGAACTCATCAATAGAAACCTAAAGAAATAATCTAATCCAAAAACTGATTAGAGATAACCTTAGTAAATTTGATGTCATATGAAAGCTTCTCAATCAGTTGCCTTCCTGAAACTTACCTTGAAAGTTCTATGAAAATTTTCCATTCATAACACAAAAGGAAATATGTATTAATTTTTAAATATGAGATTTAAGCAAAGGAAGTTATAAATCACAAAAGAACATAGATTAAGACATCAATAAAGTAGAAAATCTCATGAATAGGTAAAACTAAATATAATAAACAATTTCCCTTCTCAGTAAATGCTCATAAAATCTACATGTAGTGCCTGTGTACTGTATGGCATTCAAGGAACTGAAACTTACATTGAAAAGAAAAGAAAATGTCTAAAAGTATGGATATAAAGCTATTGGTAGAACTATCCAACTGAAATTTAAATTATATTACGAAAAATAGTTAATCAAAACAGTGTGAAATGTGTACAGCCCTAGGTTCAGTCCCCAGCACCAAAACAAATATGAGTAAAATGCAAATTTTCATATATAAATATAAAAATATATATCAAATGTATATATTTTGGTGGTATTGGAGTTTGAACTCAGGTCAAATTTATATTTTTTATATGTTAGCTGATAATATGATGAAATAGGAGTTTAGGAATAATGGGGAATGGGAGCCAGTTGCTCATGCCTATCATCCTAGCTACTTGAGAGGCTGAGATTGGGAGGATCATGGTTCAAGGCCAGCCTGGGCAAATAGTTCATGAGACCCCATCTCCAAAAATAACCAGAGCAAAATGGAGTGAAGGTGTGGCTCAAGTGGTAGAGCACTTGCTTTGTGAGCATGAACCTGAGTTCAAACCCCAGTCTTACCACCACCAACGACGACAACAAAAAAATAGAATAATGGGAAAAGGCATTATTTGTATATTAAGGTATAAACATTATAAGGTTAAATTAATTTTATCAACATCACAGGATTAGTATCATAAGATTAATGCATGTTATTAAGCTTCAAGTGTGGGTCATTTAATGAAAATAAAAAAATTATTTGGAAGACATTTATCTAATTGAAGAAATGAGCTGGTGGAGTAGCTCAGGAGGTAGAGTGCCTAGCAGTCGTGAAGCCCTGAGTTCAACCCCTAGTACCACCAAAAAAAAATCTTTAACTGAAGAAATGAAGCATATCATTGTACTTTGGGCTATATGATTTATAAAAGTAAAAATAATATTCCCCACTAATAAACTATTCCAGAAAGTTCCTCTCAAAAGTAAAGCTGGGACTGATGATACACACCTGTAATCACAGCCACTCACAAGGCTGGGGGAGGAAGATTGTAAAAGGCCAGACTGGGCAACTTTGGTGAGATCCTCCCTCAAAAAATTAAAAAGGGCTGGAGGTAGGTAGCTTAGTGGTAGAGGACCACCAAAAAAAAAAAGATAGAGAAAAAGTAGATTAAAAATAAGTATCATGGGGCTGGGCTGAGGTAAAATATAGTTCAGAGGTAAAACCCTGCCTAGCATGCACAAGGCTCTGGGTTTGATCTCCAGCACTGTCAAAAAAAAAAAAGGCTATTAGTGAATAACATCAATGCCATAGTCCACACCATAAGTAATCCAAGTAGAAAATGTTACGTATTTTCACATAATATGAAAATATTCAAAACACTGTAGCATTTATAATGTAAATGTAGCCAATTCTGTTATAATTCAACCTATTTTGCTAACAATCACTTCCCTTTTCAAAATCACAGTTAAAAAACATAAGACTTGTGAGAAAAATAAGGAACACAGCATTCAAAAACTTCATTCATGGCATATTTAAAAAAAAAGGCACTTGGGAGGCTAGGGCAGGAGGATCATGAGTTTAAGGCCAGCCTGGGCTATATATAGTGAGTTCCAGGCCAACTTCAATTGCATAGGGAGACTTCATCTCCAAGATAGATAGATAGATAGATAGATAGGAAGGAAATAATAAGTAAGATGGGAAAAGTACAAAGTCATAGTGAGGGAGGAATGAGTTTTAGTGATTTATTATATAAAAAGGTGATTGTAGTTGATAATAATGTAAGTGCTTGGCATGGTGGTGCACATCTGTAATCCTAATACTCAGGAGGACCATAAGTTTGAGTCCAGACTGGCTATATAGTGAGAACCTACCAAAAAAAATATGATAATAAAGAAAGCATAAATGTTTGAGGCTATAGATAAATTAAATATCCTGAGTTAATATCTGTGGTGATATTAGTTCTCATATATTTAAACATTTCCTCCTTTGCTAATTTATTACAATTTTACCTCTTCAACTTCTCCTACTTCATTTTCTTAGTGAAGAGCTAGTTTCATGCATTAACCATGTGGAGACTTTTAAAGCTTAGGAAACTGGACCAAAATAGAGAGGGGTCTTTTGTTTTTCCATTGAGGGTAAAACCTCTAGAATAGTTCTAAGAGACCACAAATGTTATGTGATCAGTCATATGAGCTATATTTATTTACTAGTGCTTTATTGGTGTGAAAAGTCAGATAATAATATTGTCTGCCTTATAGTCACTTCACCAATTTAACAAAAAAGCACTCTTCACTGCCTTTAAAAAATCTTGCTTTAAGATTAGTCATGGTAGCCAGGCATAGTGGTTCATGCCTATAATCTCAGCCCTTGGGTAGCTGAGGGTAGAAGATTAAGCATTCAAGGCCTCCTTGGGCTACATGATGAGATCTTGTCTCAAAAGAAAAAAATTAGCCAAAGTTTTTCCTATGTGAAAATTTGCATGTTGTTGTATACTTGATCTAGTTAATGTAGATGCAAATAATGATCATCATATCTGCAATCGTGATTTTAACACCACAGAAAATTTAAAATTTCCAAGAAAAACTGCTGCGGTGATAATAATCAGAATTTACTGTGGAAAATAAAATCTATGCTGGGTCAAGAAGTACAGTGATCCATTAAAAAATGTAGTACATTCATTAAGTAAGAAGACAAGGAATCATTGTTCTAACTGTACTATACTTAGATTTTTGTTCACTGCAGTACTATTAAAGCATTTGAATGACTGAAAAGAAAATACTGCTGTTTTTCCTTTTTTGTCAGTGAAAGATAAGGCAGAAATACTTCTGCAAGTCGATGAATCACAGAGTATCAAGAATGAACTAACTATACAGGTAAAGAAATACGGAGTATACATGATTGATTTTCTTATGCTATTCTTTAGTCTTAAATTTTTAAACTTGACTAAACAGAACTACAACCCATCAACATTGCAAGAAAGTAATAGAAACTATACTTTATTATTATGTAATAGCAAGTTAGTAAAGATTCCGTTTATTGTCCTTAAGGGAGGTAGGTATGTCCTGAAGAATGGGGAAACATTTTAGTGGACTGTTAACATAGGGATGAAAGGGCAGGTAGAACTTAATCTGTTCCTAGATTAGACTTACTCTCCTTCACATCCTTGACTTCTGACAGTGAGTTTGTCCTGTCTATCTGTAAGAGATAACTGTATATAAAACTTAATGGAAACTATGGGGAGAGTTTCTTCTCTGATACTTGTTTATGTAGTTGTCAGAATTTATCAGTGTGAAAAGTGTTCATAATTAGTGTATTTGTCAAGAAGATTTGAAAAATCGCTTTCTTATTGAATATTTGGTTATAGGTGACTTCACTTCATGCTGCATTAGAACAAGAAAGATCTAAAGTGAAAGTATTACAGGCAGAATTAGCCAAATACCAGGTATGCTTTTATAATTTTGAAGAGTTTTCATCACCAAAGGTACATTTGGACTAGATATTTTGTGAAAATAAATGTACTATCTTATTTTGGGGCCAAAATTTATTCATCAAGTATATTAACAATTTTATTATTGATCATATAATTTACATTTAAAACATTGTTACAATTATAAGTAGTACTACTAACTAGTTATTCTTTTGGAATTACAAAATAGTGACTTTCTAATTCTGTCATTCTGCACTTACAAGATGACATTCAGCATTTATATGGATGAAACAAAATATCAGTGCTTTGTTTTAATATATATGTATATTTGTATATACATATTTATATGTACATGTGTATGTGCCTAAATCATAAAAATGCATTAATTAATGGGTGATCATAGTCAAGGAAGCTTGAAAGCCTCTAGTAGCATAGAGAACATAAACATTTACTCAAACTACCTGCGACATTGAATCAGTCTGAGAAGGGGAATTCCCTTTGCCTGGGAGACTTTGAGAAGGATGCTTGAATGTTGTTTTGGTTTCTTTTTAAAGCTCTTAAGAAGCATGATAAGAGTTTTAAACTATGTAACATCAGTACCTATGTATAGTAGCTATACCTTAATTTTTTCTACATTCTTATTTTCCTGTTAACAGAAAATAAATCATTTAAAAATACCTGTGATTATACATCTCAAGTCCCACAAAATCGGTTCATACTGTTTTTCTCTGAATAAAAGTTCTTTGCAGAACTTTTATGTGATCAGGAATGAAGAATAAATAGCGTTCTTATACTTGGAAGTTTTTTGTTTTGTCTTCTTTAGAAGGTTGACGTAGAAATATATTTGACTCTAAAGATAGAAGCTATAGGATGAAAAAGCTTGGAGGAAATGAAGAGAAGCTGCCATCATTATCAAATGAGTCTGGGCTCAGTATGTCCTGAACATAACCACTACTTTAAGAAATGTATTTCCACAAACAAGCAGTTCCCAAACTTGGTGATCATCAGGATCACTTGGAAACATTTGAATTATATATTATAAGCAATATTTTGGTGATCAACTTAAGTTTGGTTATCATTACCATACTTTATCAAAATGGGAAAAATATTATAAGGAAAATACTTTAAATTATTTTTATGGTTGAATTGAGGTGTGGCCTATGTAGTTGTGGATGATTTTAATTTTGTTCTTTGTACTTTTGTTCTTTCCATATTTCTACAATAGGTATTTGCTTTTTAAATCAGAATAAAACAAAATGTAATGTTAAAATAATGTACAGAGATAGGTGTGGTGGTACATGCCTGTAATCCTAGCTACATAGGACACAAAGATGGCAGGATTGTTTTTTAAGGCCAGCCCAAGAAAAAAAGTTAGTGAGACTCTATCTCAAAAAACAAGCCAGGCATGCCTATAATCCTAGCTACTCAGGATTCAGAGATCAGGAGGATAATGGTTCAAAGCCAGCCCAGACAAATAGTTCATGAGACCCTATCTAAAAAAAATCCAACACAAAAAATGGCTGGTGGAATGGCCCAAGTGGTACAGTGCTTGCCTTGCAAGCATGAGACCCTGAGTTCAAATTTCAGTACCATTAAGAAAAAAAAAAGCCAGGCATGGTCGTTCATACTTGTATTCCTAGCTGTACAGGAGGCAGAGGTAGAAGGATCATGATCCAAGATCAGCCCTGGGCAAAAACATGAGACCTTATATGAAAAATAACTAAAGCAAAAAAGAAAAGAAAAAGGGTTAGAATGTGGCTCAAGTGGCAGAATACTTGCTATAGCAAGCACAAAGTACTAAGGTTCAAACATCTGCACTGCCAAAAAAACAAAAGTACATAAAATTGTTGTCTTTTAAGCTGCCTTTCGTTTTCCTTGGCTCAAGTCAAATAACCATAAATGATATTTCATGTGTAACAAATTAAATACAGACCTGTGTATGCCACTGAGCAATATGAAAATAACCTACTTTTCAATCTACTAATAGACAAAATCACATTTCTAATGCAGTTTAATATGACCAAAACTTGGCAGAACTTGAATTATAAATTGAATTGTCCAAAAATAATGAACTAAATTTATTGATCATATGGAACAAATTAAGTGTGTGGTTTATTTTGGTATTTATCAGATGCTTTACTTTTTAAAAAAATCCTACAGCAGTAAAAATGAACTTTAAGAAATAGGATATTCATTCACTTGTAAGCTAATTAAGCCTAAACAAATTCATATAGAAGTACAGTAACTGTAGGTATACAAATAATTTAGTAGTATGGACACTCAAATTTGTAACATTTACGAAAAAATATTGCTTCCTTCTCATACCCCAGAATACCTTTGGTCTCATATGTTCTTAAAATGAAAATGTCCCTAAAATGGTGTTTCCTAAATAATTTGCTTTATTTTTTCTTTACAGGGTGGCAGAAAAGGGAAAAGAAACTCTGAATCTGACCAGTGTAGGTGATTATATTAGCCTTTGAAGTCAACACAAAAGTTAAAACTTTCAGGGTTTTGCAAAAATGTATATATTTAATGTTGAACAACTGCTAAACTATGCAGTTTTTGTTGAAGGAACTAAAAGCAACTAGCTCACTAACAGTCTATAACTTTACGTTCTTTTGGCTTAAAGTGAAAAGAAATATTGAATTCCAGAAGCACTCAATGAGTATTGTTTGCTATCCATACTTCTTATCACTTTAGTTTTTCATCAGTCAATAAAATTCAATTACTCTTCCAGTAATGTTTGATTTTTTTTCAAGTTTCATAAACAATGTGAAAGTATCATTTTTGCTTATGCATCAGCCAATTAATTCTTTCAGTTCAGTACACTTTCTGTGTACTAAGAGTCACAAGATGAGTGAAATATGGTTGATATCCTCATGTAGCTTATGTGTAGGTGGGTAAAGTAGGGGCAAAAAGTAATTATTATCTGTTTGAATGTGATACATTGTTTGGAAATTGAGAAAACTTGCATGAGATAAATTTTAGTAAGTATGTTTTCTGTAACTTTGTTGAGAAGCAGTCTAGGCAGCAGGAATGAAATCTGGGCTGAAGGGTTTGTTTTTAAGAGCAGTTTGGCTGACCTGAGGTTAGTAATATGACATACTGGGAATCAGGAGTTTTATGAGTGGGGAAGAATGAAGGAGAGATTTTTTTGTTGCTGGAGATTGAACTCAGGGCCTCACACATGCTAGGTGAGCACTGTACCACTGAACTGCACTCTCAGCTCAGAAGGCTTTTGTTTTGACTAGAACATATGTTTATATAGGGCAGAAATGAGAAAGCCAGAAGGGTAGTTTGGGGATAGCTTTCATCCATCTTGAATTTCAAGATAATTTGATTAGCACAGGGAAACATTAAAAATGTACAGACAAAGCAGTCATCAGAGTTGTCCTTTAGAAACAGAATACTTGTCCTTTTAAATAGAAAATCATAAAAGAAAGTCATTTGGAAGAGAATATTGAGGAGGCTTTTATAATAGTAGAAATAGGAAATAAAGGTAACCTCGAACTGGGAAAGTTGCAGTAGATTTCAGAAAATTAAAAAGTGTTTCCATGGGGGAGTCTAACAGACTTATGCAGAATGAGAAAAAGGGCATCAGAGACAAAAACAAGATCTCAGGCCTAAAAGAGAGTAAGAGTGATGGTGTCATTCATAAAGAAGTCATGTGCCAATGGCTCATGCCTATAATCCTAGCTACTTAAGAGACAGCGATCAGGAGGATCTCAATTCAAAGCCAGCCCATGAGACCGTATCTCAAAAATACCCAACACAAAACATATAAAACATGATAATCATATTCCAAACAAAAATGTGAAATATTTTATAGATTTTATTGTTAAATGCAATTGTGTCTCCCATCCAAGTTTAAACAGGCCCAATCCTGCTTAGCTTCTGTGATCCAGTACATTCAGGGTGATATGGCCATAGACGCAATTGCTTCTCATTATAAATTTGTTAGGGAATAATTTTCTTCACAATATTACACACACACATGCACACACATGCACACACACACACACACACACATGTTCCCAATTTTATATGTATATAAATATATACTGATTATACCGTTTTATATAAATTAGTTTTTTAAGAAAGCACAACTTTGAGATATAACTGACATAGAACCACATATTTTTTATTACATTTCAGTAAGTAATTTTTTATTGTTGAGCTGGGTGGAGGTACATTGGAGTATTTACAAAAGTTGTTACAATATATCAAATGTATCATATTTGAATTCACCCCCTCCTCTGCGCTCTTTCATCCCCACTCCCCCAATTCCCAGAAGAGTCTCAGCAGGTATAATTTTTGCATTATATGTGTGTGCATTATTTGTACCTCCTCCCACCTCTCCACCATGTCCCACACCCCCACACCTCCCCAAACCCACCTCCAGGTAGACCCTATTCTCCCCCCTTATTCTCCGATTTTGTAGAAGAGAAAACATAAAAGATAATAAAAACATGGCGTTTTTGCTAGTTTGCGATAAAGACAACTATATAAGGAGATTCCTTGTGTTTCCATGCATATGTGTACTACAAACCAAATTGGTTTATCTCTATCAGACCTCTTCACTACTACCTAGTCCCCTTCTCATAGTGGCCTCAAGCCAGTTTAAGTTTACTGTATTTGTACAGTAAGCACATAAACCACATTCAGGTTTTTTATTTTCCTTCTCTTGTCTTATTTTTACTTTTTTAAGAAGCCTCCAAATTGTTTTCCATAGTGGTTGTACTAGCTTAATTCCCACCAGCAGTATATAAGGGTTTCTTTTTCCCCCTGCATCTTCGCCAACATTTGTTGGTGGTGGAGTTCTTGATGCTAGCTAGCTATTCTAACAGGAGTGAGGTGGAATCTTAGTGTAGTTTTGATTTGCATTTCCTTCATGGCCAGGGATGGTGAGCATTATTTCATGTTTTTTTAGCCATTTAGACTTCTTCCTTTGAAAAAGTTGTTTATTTCAGTTGCCCATTTCCTTATTGGGTCATTGATTTTTGGGGAGTTTAGTTTTTTGAGCTCCCTGTGTATTCTGGTTATAAGTCCTGTGTCTGATGTACAGCTAGCAAAGACTTTCTCCCGTGCTGTGGGAGGCATCTTCAATTTAGAGACCATTTCTTTTGTTGTGCAGAAGCTTTTTACTTTCATGTAGTCCTGTTTGTCAATCCTCCTTTAGTTGCTGAGCCGCTTGGGTTCTACTGAGGAAGTCCTTACTTATACTTATTGCTTCCAGTGTATTCCCTACTCTTTCCTGTACTAGCTTCAAGGGTCAGGTTTTATATTAAGATACGTAATCCACTTTGAGTTGATACTAGTACAGGGTGACAAGCATGGATCTAGTTTCAGTTTTCTGTAGGCAGATAACCAGTTTTCCGTAGGCAGATAACCAGTTTTCCTAGCAACATTTGTTAAAGAGGGTGTCTTTTCTCTTATCATATTTGTCAAAAATTAGGTGATTCATAACCGGATTCATAACCGGTTCCTCTATTCTGTTCCACTGGTCTTCATGTCTGTTTTTGTCCCAGTACCATGCTGTTTTTATTGTTATGACTTTGTAGTATAGTTTGAAGTCGGGTATTGTGATACCTCCAGCATTGCTCCTTTTGCTCAGTATTGCCTTGGCTGTTCACCATCTTTTGTATTTCCAAATGAACTTTAGGGTAGAATTTTCAATGTCTGTGATAAATGTCATAGGAATTTTGATGAGAATTGCATTGAACATGTAGATTGCTTTTGGTAGTATAGCCATTTTTAATTTGTTGATTCTACCAGTCCATAAACATGGGAGATCTTTCCACCTTCTGTAGTCTTCCTCAATCTCTTTCTTCAGTGGTTTATAGTCCTCCTTGTAGAGGTCATTTACATCCTTTGTTAAGTTTATTCCTAGGTATTTGATTTTTTTTTTAGGCTATTGTAAATGGAATTGTTTTCCTAAATTCTTTCTCAATCTCTTTTTGTAAGTTGATTTTGTATCTTGCTACTTTGCTGAAGCTGTTCATGGTGTCTAGGAGTTTGGGGGATTTTGGGGGGGTCTTTAAGGTATAAGATCAGGTCATTGGCAAAAGGGATATTTTGACAGTTTCTTTACCTATTGTATTCCATTTATGTCTTCTTCTTGACTTAATGCTCTGGCTAGGAATTCCAGGACTATGTTGAATATGAGTGGGGCGAATGGGCACCCTTTTTTCATTCCTGACTTTAGGGGAAATGGTTTCAGCTTTTCTCCATTAAGTCTGATGTTGGCTATAGGTTTGTCATATATAGCCTTTATAATGTTGAGGTACATTCCTTCTACTCCTAGTTTCCTCAGAGCTTTTATCATGAAGTAGTGTTGAATCTTATCAAAGGCTTTTTCTACATCTATTGAGGTGATCAAGTGGTTTTTGTCTTTGCTTCTGTTAGTGTGCTGTATTACATTTAATGATTTGCATATGTTGAACTGTCCCTGCATCCCTAGGATGAAGCCGACTTAGTCATGGTATATGATCTTTCATATATGTTGTTGGATTTGGTTTGCCATTATTTTATTGAGGATTTTTGCATCAATGTTCATTAAGGAGACTGGGCTGTAGTTCTCTTTTGTTGGATGTGTCCTTGTCCAGTTTTGGAAGGTGTGTAAAACTGGCTTAATAAAATGAGTAGGCAGTGTTCCTTTCCTTTGGAAAAGTTTAAGGAGTGTTGGTATTAGTTCTTCCTTAAAGATCTGCTAGAATTCAGTGGAGAATCCATCAGGTCCTGGAATTCTCTCTTTTTTTGGAGAAACTTTATTGCTGCTTCAATTTCATTATGTATTATAGCTCTGTTTAGGTGGTTAATGTCTTCTTGGTTCAGTTTTGAATGGTCATAAGTATCTAGAAGTTTGTCCATTTCTTCTAGATTGTCCAGTTGATTTGAATATAGATTTTCAAAGTAGTCCCTGATGATTCCTTGGCTTTCCTTGGTATTTGTTGTTATCTCCCCTTTTTTGTTTCTGACTTTATTAATTAGGGTCTTTTCCCTCATTTTAACCAGATTTGCCAGGGGCTTGTCAATCTTGTTTATTTTTTTAAAGAACCAGCTTTTTTTTGTTGTTGATTCTTTGTATGGCTTTTTGGGTCTTTATTTCATTGATTTTGGCCCTTATTTATTATTTCTGTCCTTCTGCTTGCTTTGGGTTTTGCTTGTTCTTTTTTTTCTAGGAGTTTGAGATGTAGCACTAGATCATTTATTTGAGATCATTCTATGTTTTTAATATATGCATTCATGGCTATAAACATTCTTGTAGGACTGCCTTTGCTATGTCCCATTGGTTCTGGTAGGTAGTGTTTTCATTAGCTTCCAGGAACCTTTTGATTTCCTCTCTTATTTCTTCTATGACCCTCTGACTGTTGAGCAATGTGTTGTTCAACCTCCTATCACGTGTGTGTCTTCAGCTGCTGCTATTATTGTTGAGTTCTAGTTTTAATGCATTGTGATCAGATAGTATGCAGGGGGTTATGTCACTTTTCTTATATATTGAGACTCTGTGCACTAAGATATGTCTGTTTTGGAGAAGAATGTATATTTTGCTGTTGCAGGGTAAGATATTCTGTAGACATCTGTTAGCTCCGTTTGATGTTGATTGTTTGTCTGGATGACCTATCTATTGGTGATAGAGGGGTATTAAAGTCTCCCACTACCACTGTGTTACAATCTATATATGATTTTAAGTCCTTTAGTGTAAGTTTGATGAAGTTGGGTACACTATGTATTAG